TCAGTGTCTAAAATTGGCTAAAATTTACGCACAAGTTGCTTTTTTTTTTTTTTGGTTTTTTTTAGCATGAACGATTTAATATTCTTCTTTAAAAATGTAAAATTCGTGGCCAAAACAAAGCGAATGCACAAAGAATGAAATTTAAAAATTAATAGTTTTTTAATTGGTATTTTCTCATCTTTAACTTTTGCTAGACATACTTTTATATTTTAATGAATATTAATGTATGGGTCATTTGCGAGAAAAAAACACGTGCAACAGACAGACGAATGAACAAGCAGACAGCTAGACTGACTTTACATTGGAGACCATTTACTAACAAGATATAATAAATATACATGACTATAAATAAAGAAAAATAAAAAATACAAATAAATAAATAAAAAACTATTTTATAAATTAACTGACATTCAAACACAAAATCCCGAACGAACAAAGTTTAGAACTAACATTTTGAGCTGATATAAAAGTGAGTTGACCAAAAAGAAAAATATATATGAAATATTTCGAAAAAGCAATAAATCAAGTTTTACAGAGAGGGTTTGCGAGTTATCTTTCAACTCAATTTTATCGCTACACACACACACACACAAAGACATACACTTTCAATTTCACAGCCGTATGAAACGCATAGGCCCCACAGTGTAGGGCAGCCAATCGGGCTGGCAATTGCAGCGTTCGCCCTCAGCCTGGCCTTTGACCTCGCAACGTATGTGCTGATGAAGATTACGTCAGCTGAAAAGTTATTGTTTTGGTCCGGCATTCATTGAGCCAAGGCGATGCCTGCTAGAAGCAACTGTGTGCTTCATTTATATCCATATACTTTTGTGTCCTGTGCCACAGCAGCAGCAGAAGGAGCAGAAGGAGCGCCAGCCAAATGGATGACAGCACCAGGAAACATGCGGCAGCTGTGCGAGTTGCCTACCGCTTGCCGCCTGCCGCCTGTTTGCCTCTTGTTCGGTTCGCTTCGGTTCGTTCATTTTGTTTCAGTTTTGGTTCTGGTTAAGAAATAGTTTCGGCATGAAAATTGTGCCCGAATCGCATATGAAAAGTCCGTTGTTGGTGTGTTGCTGCATGTGGGGCAGCTGCCCCGGGGGGCGCATCAGCAGCACTGGCCAAGCGTGAAAATGACCAGAAAACATTAAAAATAAATCTAAATTGCACATTTCTGGCTAAAATATCATTTACGAACCGAACACAACACAAATTTAACTTTCAAATTCACCCAAAAAATAGGCAGACAAAAGTTTGTGTATCTTGGCCTTTTAAAGACCTGACACAGGGTATTTATATTCCTAATGAGAACAAGCTGAGTTGTTTTAGTTAACTAAAGCATATCTGTCACAGGATTCTTCCGTCTGTTTCTATGTGAAACAAAACCAAATTCATTAAACTTTCGAAAGGTTGCCCCATAGCTACAGGCAGTCCATATATATATCGGCTAACTATATCATAAAGTTGTAAACGATTTAGTTTTAAAAGAGATTATTTTATTTAATTTTAATTTTTGATGTCATTAAATTATTATTAAATTTATTGTCTTTCATTTTATTCATTTATTTAAATGTATTATTTTATTTAATTTTTATATTCCCATTTAATTCATTATTATATTATTATATCTTTTTATATTATATAATTTTATTTATTAATATTTTATTTAATTTTATGAAATAATTTAGATTCTATTGTATTTAATTTTTAATTTGTTTATTGCTAATTGCTTTATTTTATCGTTTAATTTAATGTTGGTTTTATTTGATTTTAACATATATTTTAAGTTTATCAAAATATTTATATTATATTTTCCTATTTTTTTTCTTTTTTTATTATTATCATTTTATTTAATCATATTATTTTATAGTTCAATTTTTTATTTTTTATATTTCGTTTAATTTTATTCTTTTATTGCATTTTATTATGTAATTACATTATTTTTTTTAATTTTATTATTTAATGAAATTTTATCATTTTTTTTAAGTTTAATTTTAAGTTAATGTTTCAAACTTTTAATTTTACTTAATCTAATTATTATTACTTTAAAAGCAAAATCTTATCAAAATCAAAGTAAAATTAAGTTTGGCACTCTTAGAATGTTATATCTCTTAAAATGTTATCTCGAAAAATGCAAATCAAACTTTGTCCGTATGTAAGCAACATATGAACTAAATCTAATCAAAATCGGTTCACTATATCACTGGGAACAGGGTGTGTCTGAGCCTAGAAATAGAGCGAGCATTTCAAATATGTCTGCATGTGTATTTTATTCTGCACACATCAAACATAACTATTTCTCAAATATTTTTTTTATTATTTGTCTGTGTCGACAGGACATTTGCTTTTGAGCGGGCCAGCGGCAGCTGCCTGCTGCCTACCCTCTGCAGCTGCTGCCATAGTCACATATTTTTGGCAACACAAATTTTGGAATTTTTAATGAATTTCAAGTCGTTGTCATCGTCATTGCAATTCCCCCGCCACCCACCACCCGCTGCCCGCTGCCTGCTGCATATTTCTGTGTATTTTTGCGTGAGCCCCGAAAAGTATGCAACGTCTGCTGTGTCCTGCGTTCTGCGTCCTGCAGCCTGCTGCCTGCTGGATGGCATGCCACTGTGGACTACGGCCAAAACCTAACCACAGCACACAATGTCCAGCTGTGGGCGCTGGACGGCGGCCGCAATGGGCGTGGCACGCAATTAGCCAGACTGTCAAGCAAAGTGTTTTCCCCAAATGCCCCATCGCCCCCATCCCGCATCACGACCCGCACAGCTCGTTTTTTCCACATTAGAATTGCTAATTGCCAAAAGTTTTGTGCATTTTCTGCACTTTCTTCAATGCAATCCAGCGACATGGAAGACATAAATTGCATTCAAGTGAGACATTTGTTTGAATATATTGTTTGAAGCGAGCAGATTGTAATTGTTGTAACGCCCACAGGGAAAATATGCCACGCCAGACCATCCACAGGCTGCAAGCCCCAAATTGTTAGATTGCTAATCAACAGTTGCAACATGGACAGGCAAACGCGTCAAATGATTTAAGCATTTTGATACTGAATAAAACATTGTTATTATAGAAATATGTACTCATGAATACGCAAAAAATGGCAGATGGATTTTTTAGAATATTTGATTTAAATAAATCAATATGTTAAATAAAAATATGCTCGGGAAATAAATGTAAATTAAGCAAAATGAATCATCTTCGTTGACCTGTCTGAAAGTTTTTGTCATTTATTAATAATAATAATATGCAGAAAACGAAAATTAGAAATTTGTGCACTCTGTTTAAAATGTATGTAACTCTCCGACGTCATAAATTATAAATATTTGTATTCACCATCAAAAGCCAAGTCGATCTAGCCATGTTCGACTGTCCATCCGTCCGTCCGTTCATACGAACGCATAGATCTTAGCACATATAAGAGCTAGAGACTGAAAATTTGAACCTAGGACCTCTTAGTGCTCGTGCAGTACGAGTTTGTTGCCGATAATCGATCACTCCGTTTCCAAGCAATCGATAAAAATCGATATCGATATTTTTTTTTTTGAGCAAATCTCTTAGGTATTTAGAGTTAGAGTCACCAAATTTACAAGTTTCGAGAATAGTATATAAAGATAAAGTATCTTTCATTTTATAGCTATCGTGCACTTGGTGTTGTTAGAGGAAGGTTCAGGGTATCACCAAGTCGGCGTTTATTCGATAATTTTTTTATTTAAATTTATATTTTTCCCATATCAAAATTTATAGTAGCAGATGGATGTGCCTTGTAAGTCTCTTGAGTGCCGCCTGCAATGCGTTACGAATTCTCTGGCAGTCAAAATAATATTTCAACTTAAAGACAACAGCATTAGGAATGCTTTGCCATAACCATATTGGCTGGTGTAATATATATATACATATATATATTATATATATATATTAAAAGCCACATGGCAAATACATGCAAATTCGATAAATGTAAATTGACAAAAAGAAAAAGAAAGAATAAGAAAAAGCATACAAATTTGGTAAGTAAATTTTTGGAAATACGTCGAACATTGTGACAGATAAATTGGCAATGCGGATATAACAGCAGGTCAGGGCAGGGCGGGGCATGGCCCCCTCCCAAAAAAGAAAATCCAAACGCAGGGCCGACTGTAAGCCAAGAAAACTTTTCAATGGCCCAAACCCTCATATCTGGCAGTTGCCTGGCCTGCGAGGGCTGTCAATTTGTGTGTCTGTGTTGCCAGTCAACAGTTTTGTGGGTATTTGCAACTTTATGCCGCAACTTGCAAAAAGGCGGCAGCGGGCGTGGCCAGCTGTTTGCATTCTGCAGCACTGTAGGTAATGGCAATATTTTGTGGCACAACAGGCAGACAACAGGGGCATGAGAATGGAGAATGGAGGGGCGAATGATACGAATGCGGAATGGTAACGAAATGACAATGGAGCACAAAACTTGCCATTCATTACTTAAAAACTACAAAATTAGCGTGGAATTTGCCACAGCAATCGTTAAAAACTTTATGCCGAACGCAGCTGGAGCAGGGCAGACGAAACCGAGGCAGGACACAGCCGAAAAAACTTTATTTTTACAACTAATTGGCAAACTTAAATGTAAGATTTAATTTTGTTGTGGGTAACACAGCAGCAGCAGCAGCTGCAGCAGGAGCAGGAGCAGGAGCAGCAATCGGCAGGACAAAGCCGTTTGAAGCTTCATTAAAAAATTACAATGCGCTGCAGGCGGCAAACAGAGACAAAAGACAGAAAAATAATGAAAGAAGGGGTGGGGGGGAGGGTGTGTGTGGGGCATAGGGGGCTAGCGGCATGTGGCAAGTGGCATTGTCGCCTGGCTGCCAATTTATTGCGCAGCCGAACAAAAATATTTGCCACATAAATAAAACTGAGACAAGTTTGAGGCAGCTGCTGGTTCTGCTGCTGCGTCAGGGACACATTGACAGCAGCTGACCAATGTACATGTATGTTTGTATGCGTGTGTATATATATGTGTGCTGACTCACCTGGAAACTTGTACAGCGCCACCTCGTTGCAATTAATCTCAATCAGCGTGGACGTCTCGTTGGGCAGTCCGGCGCACTGGCACATCGAGTTGAGTGGACACGCGTATAGCACATCCTGCTGCTGACTGCCGAGCAGCGCGGCCGATCCTCGAGCCGGCGGCGGGCCGCGCGCCAAAGCGCGTGCCGTATTCCTGGCGCTGCGCTGCACCGCCCTGCGGCCCGCGACAGCAGCACCTCCGCCATCGAACTGCCAGCAGTGGGCGGTGCACACGAGGCACGAGATTAGCGCCAGATACAGGTGCATGCTGCAACCAGAAAGATGGCAATAAAAACAGTTAGCAATGAGTTGAATTACATTCTCAACATTCTCTGTTCTAATCTCTCAGTTTGGTGTGTATAAACTTTGCTCATAAAGCGGGCCGATGCCAGAGAACTTGTAGAAAGCTAATATTACCAAGTAGCTTTGTGTTTAAACATTTTTAAATATTAATATATATTTAAAGAAATATATACATGAAATACCTGTATAAATACGAATATTATTATATTATTAGTCTAAGGATCTCAATCGCTCTGGCTATATTTGTTTTGTGGAATTTTAAATTAATTTTTAAATAATATAATATCTTGCTTTTAATTTTTTTAATATTAATTTTTAGTTTAAATAATAAAGCAAACAAAAAATATATTTAACTATCGTATACCTTACTTTGTCAAAAAATTATGTTTATTAAAATATTTATATTAAATTATTGAAAAATATAATTTTTAAAATAATTAAAAACGTAGAAAATTATTTAATACCACAAAATCAACTATGCTTAAAAGCACTTAAATAAGTATGTTATTTTAAATCAATTTATATATTATTTAAAAAGTATAAAAACTAAGAGTACAAAATATTTGCTTAACATTTACAACTTTTATTGTATTTAAAGCGCATCTAAATATGTTTTTTATTGAATTTATATTTTTAAAATAGTTTAAGAATTGAGAGCATAAAATATTTGGTAAATATTTTCCTTTGCCAAAGTGTAAAATATTCAAAACGCCTCAAAAGAGGTTTTTGTGACACCGGCAAAATGAAATTTAGTAGAGTACTATCTTAAATAAAATATTATATGCTTCTAAATATTTCAAAATTTGCAGTTTATTTTTGCAAAAAATATATTAAACACAAGCAAACTGTCAGCGGTCATAAAAATTGTTGGGGAATGCATTTATGAAAGACCTGCACTTAGGATAAAGCTCACACAGGCTAAAAGCCCCAGACAACAAAAAAATTAGTGGCCAAAAACGAAAACTGCATGTAAATATTCAAATATTGCAATATTTGCCTGGTTCAACGTTCAACGTTGCGGTTAGGCAAAATAAACAACAATTTCTCAATAGTTTACGATGCAAATTGAACATTCAAAAAACAATAAGTAGAAGAAAAACGGCAGGTGGTTTGTTGCGACAACAAAAATATTTGCAAAAGATGAGATAGAAATAAAGTTTACATTCGACGAATTTCGAGCATTTGTTGGAGCTGTGCAAATTTAATGGAGCGTGGCATATAAAGACGCTCATTAAGAGAGCTCTGTCAGACACCTTTGGTATAGGCATTTATTTATTTGTCGCTGCTTAGCATAAATCGCACGTTAGACCGAATAGAATGGCATAAAATTAACGCAACTCCCGCCCATGGCCATGAGCGCACCATTAAAAGGAGCAACTCGATAGCACAGTGGAGCCCAAAATGTATTATGTAATATAAGGTAAATAAATAAAAAGTAATTTTTATTAATATTTTGTTGCACTCCACTATAAGGAACATTATAGGATTTTAAATTATTATTATAAGGTATTAAATACGATATTAATTATTTTCTAACTTATTAATAAAACAGTTTCAATCTCCACGTCAAAAAGCGCGGACGTGTAAAATATTTGCCCTGGACACGGTTGCCGATGAGCAGCCCAAATATATCATAAAATACATATTAAAAATAAAATTATGTGTCATTTTTGTATTTAATAAACCCGGACCTCGGAACAGCTTAACTAAGATTTTTAACTATTAATATGTTCATCTTAATTAAAAATAATAGAAAGAATTCTTACAAAAATTTAAAGTAAATAAATAAATATTTGGATATATAAAATAATGTTAGCCTCGAAAATGTAACAATAACTATATTGTGTACAAAATCAATTTCAATATAAAATAAATAGATCTTATAAAAATTTCATATACAAAAAATAAATATTTAAAGACTTGCCTACTTTAAAGATTAATTTTACGTTAGATAAAATATTATGTTCAGTATCTGAAGTATCTCTTTTGTCAAATATTATTCAGGTCAAATAAATTTCGGACATTATTAATAACATAATAACACCATTTAATAATATAATATAATATAATAAAGAGTAAATAAACATCCATTAGCTTTAGCTCAAATAAAGTTATATATAAATTATTATTATTAACTAAAAAATAAATATTTTAAGCTAATTTGTAAATATATTTAAATTTACATATTTTTTCTTGATTATTAAAGAGTGTGAGAGTAAAAAAAAAATAAAATAAAATAAATAAAAATAAAAAATGATGATTGTAAATAACAAAGAATAATTTAATGTAAGACCCAACTCTAACATTTAGCTGATTGCGCCAAATATTATACAGTCTCATAAATTAAATTTTTGCGGTTAGCGGGTCGTTTTTAATTATTTTAATAATTTAACACCTGTGAACCTTTATTATAATTTATTTTTTATTATGTTATTTTATAATGTTTTATATAATTATAGATTATTTTATTTATTTTTTGTTATATTATGTTATTTTATATTATTATTTTATTTTATTTATTTCCAGTCATAAATCATATTTCATTTTTTATCTATAGTTCAGGCATTTCAATGCCAGTGTGCACACATTGTCGCCTTGTGGAGAGCTCCTCAGCTCGACTAAGGGTGAAGTTCACCTAAAAGCTTGCGACAATTCATGCAAATGAGTCGCAGTCACACACGAGCTCCGGCACTCACACTCTCCTACACACACACGCACACACACACTTTCACATACTCGCATTCTAATGCCTCAAACCTTACAAAAAAGTGCGCAACCACAGCACGTAGAAGCTCGCACACACACACACACACACACAGTCAGGCACACTCTGGCACAGGACTTTCATAGAGCTCTGGCATATAAAACATGTTTCATGTACGTAGATGTGTGATGTTTATTTGACACGCCAAAGTATATAATAACAAATAAAAACTTTGGCACACCAGACGACGACGCCGACGACGGGCGACAACTGCTAGGACTCTGACAAGGACGACGATGACGACGAGTACGGCCCATTAGCACGATTGTTGAGCTTTAAGGCTTCGACGGTTTGGGTACCTAGGCGCACATTACGAGGGAACATAAAAGTAGAGTCCCCCCAAAAAAAAAAAATACCCATCTACTGATAGGGACTACGAAAGGCAAAAAGAGCGCAGAGAAGTGAGCCAAGCCCCGAGTCAGGCGTGTGCCCAAGTTATTTAAGTCAGCTTAAAATTTGGGTATAAGTAAAATATAGGCTTTATGTTAAGAAGGAGGCTCAAGTCGGGAACTATAAGAAGCTATAGCTGTAACATATACTTTATTCAGCAGAAGGTTTCTAGTGGACTAAATTCAATTAAAGTTTGTAGGAATAATAAATAATAATAAAATAGTATAGTATAATGTCGAGAACTGACTATCAAGGCTTATAGTTGGTAAGCTATAAATCCATTGAATATATAAGAAAATTATATACAACAGAAGGATAATATAAAATATGGATGTCTGAGCTTTGATATTTGATAGGGTCTGCCAATATTAATGTCCGACAATTGCATATCGATATTTATCGTATTCAATGTTTTCGACCGTATTTTGCAATATTATAAATTTCTCAAATATTTTAAACACAGCAAAGGTTTTCTCTTTGCTTCTCTTCCGACACATTGGCTTTTCACACAGTTTCATCGTTTCATTATTTCTATCGATATTTGCAATCTTTAACATATTTCAATATATCGATTAGCGAAAATATGTTATCCCTAACCTTTGTTTTTTACTATCGCACTTCTGAAGCAAAAGTTCGCCGAAGAAAACTAAAAATCAAGTTTGCTAAGCAGCCGTCACGTTAGATTCGCTGTTAGTAAATTAGCAAAAGAATTGAAAGTTCAATAGCGATTAATTGAAAAGTTGCTTTAATATAGAAACTTTCCAATGGCTGAGACGCCGATTGCTGAACAGTTGAAAGTGTCGAATTCCAAAAAATTGGAATTAACGCTGGGTAAGTTAAAACCAAAATATATGTATATGCCTGCCAAATTCCATTACCATCCCACACAGATGAATACTCCGAGCAGTATGTGCACAATGCTCCTGACAATGTGGGCTCCGCAAAGGGCAAACGTCGGGAACATTATATATTCGATAGAAATATTATGGAGCTAACACTTGGTAAGTCCAATTTTGAATCATTTGTCCCAAGTGAAGCTCAAAAATGTCCTTCAACACCTGCAGATGAGTATTATGAGAAATTTGTGCTGCCCAAGGCAAAGCTTCAAGCAGCTAAAGATGAGGAGGAGCACAAAAGCATACGCTATCAACGCACCCATTACTTTGGGCCCAGCTATTTGGACCGCCAGCGTCAGCCAAAGGAACCAGCTGCCACTGAGCAGAAGGGGACCACAACAAATATGTAAACAGATGACGCCAAAGGAGCTGCTCCAATAGACGGAACTCTGAAATTCTGTTTGCAGCAGCAAAAAGAACTCGCATTTAATGCGAATCCCGGCAATAAAGAGACTAACAGAGAAGTCCAGTATTTACTTGATACATTTTTATGTGGTGATAATAATGTGTAAGCAGCTTCTGACTGAGCCCGCAAAACGGCCCCACTTAAGATTCATTCAGAATGACAACGTAGGAAAAAAATATTTTTATGTGATATCCATAATTTGTTGAAAAAACAGCTTTTCGCCTGCGGCTCTGGCAATCGTTAAATGACAGCTGATATGCTTTCAAGCAGGTTTCCATGTAAATATTAAGCTGTTTTTTAAACAGCTCGAAAAACAAGCTCCTTTTGGCAATTATCAGGCTGTTAACAAAACCAAATTCCGTTAAATAGATTCTTATGCAAATCGTTATTTATATTTAAAGCTTATACCAAAAGAGGCTGACCTTTTCGGGCTGTTTGCATAATTATATCTTAACTATATCATAAATATTTATATTTATTTATTTATTTAAATATAGCTGTAGACGAATATATTTATCATTTTATTTTACAATTCTATAAAAGTATTATTATTAATTTTATATAAGCGATCTGCCTTTCCCAACCAATTCAAAGCTGTTTACTTAATTATGCATCACTTAAATAAAAACTGACATAAATGAAAATAAGTTTTCCTGCACATCCATATTTATTTAATTTAATTTTTCTTTGTTTGTTATTCTGCAAATATCTATTTTGATTATTTAATTGTCACCGCCGCACTCAGTCAATTTGATATGTTTGCTTAATCCCTTTCCCTCTATGAAAATATTTATATATTAATAATTCGTTAATTTTTGTGCAAATCTTTGCTCTTTATTTGCATTCAGTTCAACTGTAAGTGCTGCCTTTGTCGGTAAAATCGTATTTGCTTTCCTAATTACAGGGCCAATTAAGATTCATTAAATGACAACTAAAATGCTTGAAAATAGATAACCATGGAAATCTGTATTGCATAAAATTAAATTGTTTCAGCCTCTCTCTGAAATTCTCATGCTGTTTACTTAATCATCAGCTCTCAGCTCTCATATGTCTGGGCAATGGATATCTAGCTTTGCTCAGCAAAATCAATATCAATCTTCAATTGCCGTCTGGCACTTTTGCTGATTGTTTTTCATTATGTTGATGGTGACAAATCGAATCTGCCTCTTGCAACATTTGGGCTGACCATGTAAAACCAAACGATACATCACACAGTTGAGTGGGTGAACGAGTGTGTGTTTGTGTGCGAGTGTGTGTGTCTTATCCACATTTATGCACCTTCAAATATTTTTCTGCTCAAATACACACACACCCCCACACAAAGTCAGTCAGTCACTCGGTCAGGAAGAACAGTCGAGAGTTGCGCCAGGAAAGATAAATATGTCGTAAAAGTTTTTTATTTGCGTTTTATTTTTGATACAGCAAATGACTAACTTGTTGGCTGACAGTCAGACAAATAGACGGACGGACGGACAGATAGACGGACAGTCAGACCTTATGCCCATAGCCAGCAGGTACAGCCGAAAGAGACAGAGACAGACAGTGACAGAGAGCGACAGAGAGGGCGAGTGCGTTAAACAAAGAAAGCCGGCTAGCAGCGAGTGACAGGCCAGCAACGTCTGTCACGCACAGACCGCCAGTTGCCCCAATGCGGGCGCTGCCTAACAAACCACCAACCCCCCCACCCACTTCTAGCCCTAAGCGTTGAGTAGAAAGTTTAAAAAATACAAAAAAAAGTACAAATTTGCCTGTGCTTAGCCGAACTTTGTGTACACTTTGAAAACATTTGTTTGGTAATTGATAAGGCCGAAAAATACATCAAAAAAAATTGTACATTTATGTTATGGGATCTATGTTATTGTTTATTATTGATACTATAAGGCTATATATATATATAATATATATATATATAATTGAAACTATTAACCATACTTTTAAAGAGGTTTTATGGACATTTTTCAAACATGCTTTGAAAATAAACAAATTTTTTGAAGTCATAGGAAAAAATAAAACAATGGGAATTATATATGGTATAAAGAATTATATAAAGGAGCTGTATTATTTCAAAAAACTAAAATTATACTACTACTAACATTTAAAGCCATGTTTATATATAATTCCCATTTAGATCTCCTCAGCATTCGTTTTTTCCCCCAAGATGCCTTGAAGAACTAGGCATAGGAAAAAATAAAACGTTGGGAATTATATATAAAGAATTATTTGAAAGAACTAACAACGTCTTTTTAAACATTAATATATCAATTAAAAATAGTTATAATAACTGCGCGGCCTTGATGGTAGAGATGTTTATGATTTATATATAATTCCCATTAAATTTCCATAGCGTTCCGTTTTTTTCTCAAGATGCCTTTAAGCTAATCTCAACACATTTGATTGCTTAACAAATTCTGCATTATTTGCTTTTTCAATTTTGTTTTTGTTGTTGCTTCAAGTCTCTTTAGCCAAATACCTCGCTGTTTAGGGTATAACAAGCAGCTGGCAAAGCGCAAGCAGGACAATAAACTGTCCCTTCTCACGGCCGGGCTCAGTTTGCCTGGTGCTATGAAAAGGTCAACTGGAGGCAGGAGGCAGGAGGCAGGAGGACGACCGCAAGTTTTTATTACGCAGATAATGCCAGCGATTTGGCCCCGCGCTCACCCACCCGTTCGTTGGCTCAGCTTGGCTCAGGGCATGGGATCTGCATCATTTTTATACTTTTAATTTTTTATGCCGGTGACACAGTGACATCAAATGTCAACGAGCTGCACAAAACAAACAGCAGTCAAGTTCTGGCCAACGAGTCCTGCCAGCAGGGCAGCCACTAGCATAAATATGTTTAAGGCTGAGCGTCCCAATGGAGGACGTAGCGCAGCGCAGCGCAGGAGCGCAGCGAAGAGTCAGCGCAGCAAGAAAAATGCTGAAAAACGTAGCATACATTTGGGAGCCGTTGCGCTCTGGCGAAAATTTGCGAGTTTGTGCGATAATAACATATGTAAGTTGCTTGTATATGCATGTCTGTGCGTGTGTATGTCTCTCTCTCTCTCTCTCTCTCTCTCTCTCTCTCTTTCTCTGTGTGTGTTGTAAATGGCGTGCAGGTTTTAAATTTAGCCCATAAGCTGCTGACTGCATTGGGACAGGCAGCAGCTCGAGCGTGGCAAAAATTTAAAGCTGCCGCTCAGATGCGGCTCAAAACTTTAAATGAACTTAAATGTGTGTGTGTGTGAGTTTGTGTATAGCTGTATTTGTGCGCAGCGTATTTAGCGCATTTTCGTCGGCACGTAGGTGTAAGCAGCATCATGTATCTGTGAGATACATCCGAGTTAATCGCCGTAAAAGCACTTCAAAGTCAATTAGAAGCGTTCAAAGTTCATGAAAATTTCGTTTCGTTTTATTTTTTCTTCTTTTTTTGTTTATTGTTTTAGTTTGTTTTGCTTGGGCGTTTTTTTCACAGAAATAAAGGAAACTTTATACACAGACAGTGGATCAAAGAGTTTTCAAACGAACTCAGATTTAAAACGGTTTTTGGCAACAAATAATTCAAAAGGCTGGCGCGAATATAAAAAGCCAGTTTAATTTAACAGTTTACCTGTCATGTACGCATTTAATTGCACTTTGTAATTGCTGTTGGTTTCTGTTCATGCAGCTACAATTTTTGGTTGCATAAAATATTTACGCATTGGTCGCATCAAAGCTCGTTTTTGTGCATGAATGAAAAAATTAATTCAATAAATAATTAAAAACATGACACGACTGTAATTAAACAGTGTGGCCATAACTGCATGAAAATGGACTTTCAAATTGGAATTTTATAGTGCAGCGGTCACACTGTTTAGGAGAGCTCTTCAAAGCAAAGCGATCCTTAGAATAAACGGATATATGGTATTAACCACATCAATTCGAACTCATGGAAACTTGGAAGAAACTTTAAATAATAAATAAATATAACTGAATGTAGTATATAAAGATATATAATTCACAATATAATATCATATAATATATATATACTTAATGCATTAATGAATAACAATAGAAAATGTGGAAGCTTTGAATTGATTTCATTATAATGCAGTCAGAGTTTAACTTGTTTTAGAATTCTATAGATTCGGCTTAAGCCTAGAAAACTTTTAAGAACAAAACTCATATAAGCTGGCCTCAAATTGCTTTTGCCTATTGTAAGCTATTGACTCGCAAAACACATTGAACATAGTTCACATATAGTACAAAAAGGGATTTAAAATTACAGTCGATTGGATAACTTTGTTTTCTGCCGCTTTTCTTGCTTAACAAAAGCTTAGAAAACCACACTAACACAATTTTTGGAAAAACTCTGCGTGCAACTTGAGCATTTTGAGTTGGGCTCGCTTTAGGTTTTGATTTTAGGTATTTCATGTATTCTGCTTCGGTAATTTACACGCTGGCAGGCATAAAGCCAACATTTCAAGCCCAGAGCAACCTAGCATGCAATTGTTTTTATGGCCACATCTGTTCGCACACACATAGGTATACACCCACACACACACACACACACACACGCGCTCACACCAGCAAATCATATGTCAAAATCAAAGTTAATCCCATTGTGTTATGTACAGCAATTGAAATTATGTGCTTAAAGGCTTTAGCCCAGCCTAACAAAGTACAAATAAAAACAGGGCAAAAAAAATAAAATAAAAACCCACCCGCACAAAGCCAAAATGGCAATGTTGCAGTCGGCGCACAACAATGCCCCAAACGCAGCACACAAATTGCGTATGTTGCGCCCTGCCACATACATGTTTTTTTTTCTGTTTTTTATTTATTTTTTTCAACTGCTGCCATTATTTTTGTTTTTATTGCGCAATACACGAAAACAATCATAAAAAAAGTCGAGCGGCGCAATTTGAAACAACTGCGGCAGGCACTTGAACCCAAACGGCTGACAGAAGCGACAACAACAACAACAGCAGCAACAACAACAACAACAACAACAACAGCAGCAGCAGCAGCAAAAGCAACAATAACATATAAAACAACAACAAACAATAACAGATTTATTGCATATTTCGCACTGGTAATTGAGATTA